TACTTGTTCAACTTCTAGACATTTTGCTCTATTACTCGTTCCTACTTCCTTATATATTAAGGGTCATCCTATTTCGTGTATCCCTCCCGATTAACCACCAGAATGATGGGGTGAAGAATAGATAGGAAGAACTAGAATATGATGTGAAGAGGAATGATGAGATGATCTGCAGAGATTAGATATGAAATATTGTAGAGATTTGGTTGAAATGTTGAGGAATTTCTTGAGAAATTGATTGATCACAGAAACAAAAAGCTGTACAAACTAATTAGTATTAGCAACTAATCCTTAAAACACTAGATAATAAAAACAAGATTTAAAGCAAATGAAAAAGAAGAGTTGAAATGAGAAGTTAATATTTGGTTTAGGTTAATATAATAATAGGGGATCAAGTTATGATTAATTGTGAGTTGTGGCCACTCAACAAACAAACACTCGAGAGGAATTGCAGGCATCAAGCACTAATTGGGCAAAAAATCATGCCTCTTACTGTTCTTTAATCATTAGCTTTTATTTTTATTTTTATTTTTATTATTATTATTTTACTTTTCTCTAATTTCCATTTTCTTTCTTTCTTCAAAACTTTACTACTAATATCTTAAATAATTGATTTTCGGTTTGTGAAAAAAAAACATTTTCTTTTTTGGGTTCTTATAAACTAATGACACTTTTAAAAGTGAAAATTATTGATTAATTAATTATTCATTTAGGTGCTATCGAAAAGATTAGGGGGGAATCCCTGATTTCCTGCAAAATTCCATCCCAATCAACAACACATTATGGAATTTTAATTTCTTTAATATATATATATATATATTCTGGTATTCTGAATAAAAGTTGGAGATATATTTGATTTAATTTAATAATATACATTTATATAGTCGTCGGTAAATAAAAAAAAAAATTTCTATAAACTCTAACTAATATTTGATTGTTAATTTATTTGAATATTAGTAATTTCAAGCATGTGTAAGAATTTGTCGTGTAAATAAATAGTTTTTTTTTTTTTTTAAAAAAAGTAAATTACTATTTGTTTTTTAAAAAATAAGTAATCATTTCTTAATCATATAAAAACACATTAAAAAAAAAAAAACTCTTTTTTGTTCATTTAAAACCCATTTTCAATAATTAAAATATCTTAATCCGTCGAATCAATCAAGATTAATATAAAAATTGATTTGAAATCCAACGGCACCGATTGGATCAATCAGGATCCTAAGAATTGATATAATTTTATATCAAATCGATCCTATACACGTGTGTACCTCCAAATTTTGTTTGTATATCTTTCAGTGCCAGTAGTTTCTAGAATTAGCATGACAAAAAAAAAAAAAAATGGAATTCTAAAATCTTAAATATAATTATTTAATAAAAAAATTATATTAATATTAATATCACAGATAAATAAATAACTTATACGTTTTGATTTGCCTAAAATTTTAATTAAGCCTAATAAATTATTATTATGTAAAATTAGTTCTTTATAATTAAAATAATTTATTGCTCTAAGTAATTTTGAAATAAGTGTTTAATTTATATAATATAAGGACGTAAGTATCATGATAATAATATAAATAAAATAATTTTAATGTATTTTAAGTTAAAATTATAAATATTTTCACATCTCAAAAATTTTAAGTAAAATTAAAATTAAAAAGGCATTTTGAGAAACCAGGCGTGCAATTGCAACATGCGATTGCCTGCCTGGGCTCCTCTACTTGGAGGGGCAAAATTGTCTTTTACTATTTTCCTTTTTTTTTTCTTTTTTTTTTTTTTAAATGAAGTCTTTATAAAATTTCACCCTGTCTTCACCTTCTTACTTTTTTAGACGCGCCTTCGTCTTCTTCCCTTCCAACTGTTCACCTCTTTTCCTTCATTCTTCTTCTTTTTCTTCCTCTTCCGTTAGCCTGCTAGACTTTAAGATTCTTTCCGCTGAGGCGCCTCTCTCTTTGGATCTGATTCAAATTACTTTCATCTTCACCGTAAGTATCTTTATTTCAATTCTTTACTCGTTCTTGTGCTTATATATAAGTACATGTATATGTATATGGTTTTTTCTCCGCCTTCGTGTTTGTTCTTCTCCCTACGCTTGGTGGTTTTTCTTTTTCTTTTTTATGTTTTTCTATCCGGATGCGGAGAGAATTTGGGATGATGAGGAGGAGAGGGAAACTGGATTTCATTTTCTTTTTCTTTTTAATTTTCGTATCTTCATATTATTTCATTTTTGGGTTTTTTTTTTCCTTTGGCGCTATTTCGTGTGTTTGCCTAACTTTTGTTTGGCTCGCTGAGAAAAACCTTTTGGAAAATTTGATTTTGTTTTTCTTTCGGATTTCTTTACCGAGTTAGTGATTCTTTGCCAGATTTTCTTCAGGTGAATTGAAATAAAACTCAATAAACATCCTCATTTTCTGTAAGGTCTCTGTTTGTTAGTTTATTCCCTCTTTATGTGTTGGTTTCTTGTTCCTTTTCTTTAAAGTATATGCCCTGGTTTAGTTCATTTGGCTTTTCATTTCATGTCAGTAATTCTGTCATTTTCTTGGTTCTTGGGAAATTTTTCCTCCTCTCAATTGGCAGTTGGAAACAAAAATAAAAGGTCAAATTGGGTATAGAGCAAAAGAAATAAACAATCCATTTGGTGATTAATTATCATGTCATAACAAGTTTCCCCCGCTCTCATATTCCCATTTCTTGGTATTCTTTAATATATTTTTTACTGTTTTACATTAAAAAAAATTCCTATTTCTTGGTATTCTTTAATATATTTTTTACTGTTTTACATTCAAAAGAAATTCCTATTTCTTGGTATTCTTTAATATATTTTTTACTGTTTTACATTAAAAAAACATCTCTATTTCTTGTTAATTTGGTGCTTTCTAATTTTCAAATTTATGATCTTTTGCTTGGAACCAACAAAGTAGGTGGAATTTAAGTTTGTATTGTTAGTTACAGAGAGCACGTGTGAGAACTCATATAATGGTGGAATTGGCAAAAGGTGAAATGGAAAATATAATTACGAACACTGGATTTAGAAAATTTGTTCCATGTGTTTTGGTACCTTTCCTCTCCAACTAATATAGGTTAGTAGTATAATTGTTGCCTGTTGAGACTTCTAATATGTTATTGCTTTTAATATTCGAGGAATTCAAGGATTTCACTTATGTAATGTATGATTCTTATGTGCAGGAAGTCTATTGGTTAGACACCATACAGCAAGAATCTATTGGATAATTGTATAGCACATACAAGAGAAACAGCATGCCTTGGTCAAGTTTATTAGTGAATGTATTCCGCAAAGTCGCCCGCTTAAATTTGTATTGCAGGGTTATTCTGTGAATTATATCTTCACTGAGTGGGCCTTTGATTTCCGTTTCTGTTTTAGCTTCTTGTTTTAACTGGCTGCCCATGGGATCGGATCACTTTTTCATCTTTTTCTGTCACCATTATCGGATTAGCTAAAAGAACACTAACTACTTGAGAGTTCTCAGTTCTTGTTGTCAGCTTTCATCGTTGTTTCTATCTTTTATCTTCCTCAATTCAAGTTGCATCTAAGGTTCATTTTTGTATCTAGATTGGTCCCTTGCAAGTTTTAGGATATTTGTTTTCTGTTGAATCCTCTATTTGGATAGATCCACTGGTTTGCTCAAGGGCTAGAAGAAGTTATGGTGTGCCAAGCAGCCAGTCAGACGAGGTTTCGGGCGTTAATGTATGAGAATGGGATTGCTGGAAGACCAACGATTGTAGTTAGAGTGATTGCATGCTTTCAACCAATGCAGGGTTGTCAGGTTAGCACAGAAGCTGTTCGTCATATGGCAGCTTAACTTGCTTTTTCTATGTTAGGCAACCATATGCACATCCACTTTTCTCAACTATAAAACTTTAGTGAACATTGTTTAAATGTTAAATTCTCATACAGTTTTTGTTAAAGAGCTTTCAATATTTTGATATTTTAGGTTATAATTGTACTGTTTGTTTCACTGTCTTACCAGGCTGAGTACTTCCGTCATTTGCTTAAACCCGTCACGTAGATTAGTCCCGAGTTTCCGTTGGAAGTATCAAGCTGGACATTGTAGTTTTCTCTGTTTTCCTTTTTTCTCTTTGTTATTGAAAGACTCTACAAGTAATTAAACATTGCCGAACAAGCTCTGTCCCTTTCCTGGTACGTTTGGTGGAGGTTTTGTGCTAATATCATGTTGGTTCATCTCTGTGGTCTTTGCTTCTGGGGGTAATTTTCTTTCTTTCAATTTAATGATTACAGGTTGGATGGTTAAGGACAACAATTCTTGGCTTTCTCTACAGAATTTCCATTGGCAATTTCGTAAAGCAAATTGCATGAGCACACTTCCTGAGTTCAGGCAAACAGAATGCTTGCCTGGAGCTATAAATCCTGGCATATTCCCCGTAAATATGACATTACCAAAGCCTGCAGGTCCTTGTATTCCCAATTTGAAGTTAGAGGAAGAACATGAAGCTCATAAGTTGCTTCAATATATGCAGCCTCACTTCCAGACTAAGTTACCTGGTAAGGACCTGTATCCCAAAGAATTGGACCCCATTTTTCGTTATGGGATCCAGGAAAAGGCTGCTGCAGCTCATGTGACATCTGGTTCTTCCCAGAATCGACTTGTGATCTTTGATCAGTCGGGGAATCAAACACGGCTACTGTGTAGTTTTCTATGTCCTGCACGCTGTCCAAATGCTGCTGTCACAGAACTTATGTGCGGTCCTATTTTGCATGAAGGCGAAACAATCAAAGTAGATCAATTCACCCCCAAGGAGGCCATTTTTCATGAAGAATCTGACGAGAATGATTTATATGGTGAAGATAGTGAAATGCATGAGGACACAGAAGAAATCAATGCGTTACTTTATTCGGATGACGATGAAGATTGTGGTAAAGAATATGGTAATGATAATGATGATGATGAAGTCATGAGCACTGGTCACTCTCCAGTCACAATCAAAGGAGCTTACAATGAGCAAGAACAGCTTGAGGAAATAACGGAGGAGGTCGCTAGCTCTGATGGTCCTCACAAAAGGCAAAAACTGCTGGATGGTGGGTACGGAGAATTATTACTTGTGGGCACTGCAAATTCAGTAAAATCAAAAGAATCCCACGAGGATGATGATGACGTGGAACCAAGCTATGACATTGGCCAAGCCCAAACAGAAGAAGTGGGTTCCATTCCAGGTAACAAGCGATTAAGAAATGATAAGATTCGCAGTACATTGAGAATTCTGGAGAGCATAATTCCTAGGGCTAAAGGAAAAGACCCACTGGTTGTTCTTGATGAAGCTATTGATTACCTGAAGTTGTTAAAGCACAAAGGCAGTGCTTTAGGAGTGAACTGGTACTGAATTATGGTACTCCTTCCCCTTCTTCCTTCCAACAGTAGAATGTTGGGGTAAAGGGTGGAAAAGAGGGAGGGGGAAAGAAATGAGAGTGGTAATTAACCCTGAAGAAATCTTGGGTTGAATGATTGATGAAATTGAGCTGTGGTCTGATGTGGGGTAGCCTTTAATCATCCCCTTTAATTATCTTCCATGAGGGATGTGTATATAATGGATGAATAAAGGGAGTAAAGTAGTGAAGGGGATGATAACAGACTTAGTCTTTGATGGTTGTGTGTTGACCATAAATGATTATCCATAAGTCTTTTCTTTTTTTTGATTTATTAAAGAAAGATTTGAGTAGTAAGTGGGTGTGAGTGGTGGTGTGTGCTGTAAAAAAAAGAGGACCCTCTGGGCACTGTTTGTGTTGAAAACTCTTTGTTATAAATGCATGCGCGTTAGGTAGATGGGGTCCCATCATGCTGCCTTTCTTTCTTTTGATTTTATGCTTTTGTCTTCTTTTAAAACTTCAAACCCCATCATGCTGGTGTTTTAGGCCCTTGTGATAAAGAAATTTGAAGAAGGAAAAATTTTCTTTTCTTTTTATGAGTTTGGGGGGTCCATGAGATTTTTGATAGAATGATGTAGTGAAAAGCTTGGTTTGTTTTCAAATTTGAGTGTTTGTTAGGATGATTGGATATATATATATATATACACGCACACATGTGTATATATATGTGTGTGTGTGTGAGTGAGTGAGAGAGAGAGATAATTGTAGTTGTGGCTGTATTTCTGCGTTTGCTGCTGTGTCATGATTTTATTGACTTCTTTATGTGACATTTGCACGCTTGTATCAAGAAGAAAAGCATTTGATGTGCTGTTTTTTTGTGAAGGCAAATATGATTTGTAGGGAAGAAGAAAAGTAATCTACAGATTAAAAATGATTATCATCATCTTTTGCTTTTTAACTGTTCTCCCCTGAAATTATTCACTAGTATATTTATGATATGAAAATTAATTTAAAAAAGATAAAATAAAAGTTAGGGTTTCTTGAATTTATTCATATATATGTATATGTATATATCACGTGAATTATTCACTATTTGCTTTGGAAGTGGGTGAAAATCCCCTCTATTTCGGGCATGCACCCGTGAAGGGTTTTCGCAATCATTTACACAAGGTAAGGGCTAAAATGTCTTTTCCTCACTAAATATTATATATTATTCATGCATATATATATATATATATATATATATATATATATACACACTCAATCATATTATTTATTTCTATTTTGTATTAATTTATTTTATGTACTTTTAAAAATATTAGATTTAGTCCTTTTGGGGGGGTCATTTAACTCACAACAATATTGTGTATGTTTTCCACGTCAGATTTTAATTTAGACTAGTTAAATAAATAAAAAAATAAAAAATAAAACCAAAATCTATTCGCTAAATCCCCAAAACCCCGCTCCCGAGCACCACCCTTTCATCACCTTCTTCCTCCTCTCCCTCCTTCCCACGCCCCTCCGCAATGCCCTGCAGTTGTGCACTTGCCGAGAAATCTTTTCTTGGCAGAAGGTGATTTCAGCGAGAATGCCCGCCGAGATCGTTGTAGAAGAGGGAGCCGCCATAATCAACGGCGTCGCTTTTTACTTTTGGCTAACAGGGACCAGTAGTGCTGATGCCTTTGTTCGATTTTGTGAGGAGGATCGTAAGAAGGAGGAAGACGAAGAAGAAGAAGAAGGAGTCGAGAGGGGTTTGAGGATTTAGGGAACGTATTTTGGGTTTTGTTTTATTTAATTTATAACGTATTTATTGTCTTAATAAATAAAAGAATGTTTATAAAGAAATAATAACAAAATGATATGTTAATTGTAATTCCCAACACTATACACAGTCGTATCTAATTTTTTTTTTTTAAAGTAAATAAATAATACAATTTAATAAATAATATTAGACATCTGACCAGACAATTTATATTTTTTAAATATTTGAAATTATATAAAAATCATAAGTTTAAATATAATTTTTATCAATTTTAATGTATTATATAAATTGAAGTGGTCGATTTATAATATTTAATTCAATAAAATTAAATATATTATTTAATGATGTACTATTAGTGTTACATGGATCAAATTGAGTATAACGAATTTATTATATTTTTAAGTAAATAAATTTTTTGTGACGGTTAAATTTTTTTAATATATTTTTTATATTTGAATAAAATATTTATAATTATAATAAAAAAATTACATTTTATATTAAAAATAGATAGTAATTAAAAACTGTTATATTTAGACTACTTCCTATTAAAATTGGGAAAACAAATTGTTTCTCTCTCTCTCTCTCTCTTTTGTTTTTTGTTTTTTTGTACTTTTATATTGTTCTATTCATGAATATTCTTAAAGTTTCTAGTTCCATGGAATTACTCTTACCAGATATTATCTTAAAATCTTATATAACTTGGATACTATATTATAATATAATAAGATGTAATAGATTTTTAAAATTTTAAAAAATTAATAAGAGTTTAGTTTGTTACTCTCAAAATTTCAGTGTACTAGTAAGTAAGTTTGGATTGGTAAATTAAGTTCAAAGTTCAATATTTTTTGGTAATAAATTTATAAGAATTTCTTCACAACTAGTTTAATATTGATATAGATTATTTGTCTTTAATTAGATGAAGAAAAATTTAGATTCTATGCAAGAAAACTTTTGTATGTTAACAAATTTTTTTGAAGTGTAAAGCAATTTATGGTAAAAGTAATGTAACTTTTGATTTGGGTTAGTAGAAAATTTCTTATTTGCTTGGATATTATAACTTAATTAGAAATTCAATGAGCAAACTAACACATTTGGAAAAGGAAAACACCCTTCACATCTCACTATATATACACATATCATTCCCTCGCTCAATCAGGGTATGATTCAAGCTAAAACCATGATATATGCGTACATCTATATATACATACATGTACCAATACCATATATAATATGACTTTAGGATGAAAGGATTGATGAGAATATATAAAGACTATCTAAGAAAACATTTATAGTCTTTTGTGGGTTTTGGTTCTAGTGTATATATAGCAAATTAATCAAGTCAATCTTGGTCTAATATACACCATAGAAATTACAATGCGTTGAATAATGTCATGTCAGGCTGCTCATAGTTGCCATTGGCTTGGAATTTGCTTTGACACCAAAGGTTTGTATGTGAAATTCGATGGGAATGCAGTGTTTCCACATTACTATAAATTTATTGGTTGGCCTTCTTTTCTGGTTACTTTTAGAAGAGTGGACTTTGAAGAAAGTCTTTTTGGTTTCATGCAAATTACAAATTGCAAATTGCTTCCCTAAATGCCCACAACTGTAGGCACTTCAATTTGTCTCCCCAGCAAAGGATTTGCAGCCGGCAAGATCTTCAATGTGTTGACATTTTGAATCTGCAATACATAATGGGTTTTATTCAGAATTATCTGGAAGATGTCAAGTTGCTTTCCACTTTTTTGTTAGAGACAGGTTTGTTCACTTCTTGTTTGATGTAATGCCACTGAGAAAAAGTGTCTTGTCAATCTGCTTGTATACACACCCAGCTTTTCCTTTGAGGTGGGTTCAAGTGAGATTCATTATCAGATGAAATATACTTCGTTCTTATTTAATTTACCTTTCTATTTATGAAATTGCAGGGTTTCCCAGGTGCAGAGAGGAAGGAAATTTGTTTTATATGTAATTTTGCAGACTTTTTGATAGGATAAAACTTAGTTATAGCAGACTTATGCCCTATTGGGTTTAAAACATCAAGAGTGATATCTGGTCTTATGGAGGATACAGGGTAGGAAGTAAACAGCAAGAACCTTATCCAGACAGACCATTGATTTCGACTCGCATATTATTTTATAGCAAGTATTTCTTTAGATGCCATTTTTGACTGAGGAAATCTTGAAGCACATGGCTTAAGAGAGATTGAATTGATTGGGAATGCTTTCGAGGTTGGCAAGATGGATTATATTGGACTTTGCATACTCTTTAGAAAATATTAGTGTGATTGGATTCATGCAAGATCTGTTTGGAATCATGCTTGGAAGGAGAGAAGATAAAGACTTTTGTTGATAAAGTTTCACTCTCTGGGGACTGGATTAACCATTGCAGATGTGACAGATAGATAGTGTAGATTTTAGTTTAAGATAGAAGATTTTAGCTTCTGCATAACAAGCATTTGATCAAAACTGTGGATTAAAGGTTAAGAGCCTAAGAAATTACTAAGAAAAGTTGCCTAGCCATTCGCAGAACTACTCTGTGAATAAAATACACATAAGCAGATTATTGTTAGTACAAAAACCTACAAGACATGAAAGATAAGATGGGACAGTGCTGAAAATAGCATTTAGCAAAGCAATCTTCATCTTGGTAGACATACCCTGAATATGTCCTCATGACAACATGTGCTTAGGTGATTGATCTCCTTACCCTCTTTTATGCTATGCCAAGTCCAAGTAACATCCTCCATTTACATTATATCAATGCATATCTCAGTGTGATCTGCACTTTATACAGGTCACAATTGTGATCCACAGGCTGGAGAGTTATTGGCACTATCTTCTGTGTTACCTCCATGGCAAATAAAGACTTCTTTTTCATGGTAAGATAAGTGTAACCTGAAGTGGAACACCTTATCCTTTTTGAGATCTTATCTTGTTTGCACCTCCTCTATATTTTTATTGGTACGATGCATGATATAATAAAAAATGTTGGGACCTAGTAATGATTTTTCTTCCTCCTTTTTCTTTTGCATCTTCCCTCAAAGCAAAAGATCAAACAGAACCAATCCTAAATCTATCAGAGGCCTGAATGATCTGAATGACCATAGAGCATGCTTATATTAATGCAAATGGATACACCATTTTGAACTAATGATCAATTTTGAGAAATTTTAGGGAAGTAATATGTCCTTTTATTTAATGAAACCAAGGGAAATTCTTTTGGTTTGAATTTCTCTTTAGATGTATTTATTATTCAGTCACTGTTTACATTTTCTTTCGAGCATTTACTTAATCTCTGAGCGTTATTACTTATCGATTTACTCTAATGTATTAGGAATGAGGTTGATCATGAGTTAGAAATCTGTCGTGATCTCTCGATTTCATATGAATTTAGTATCTACCTCATCTGTGATTGTAACTCACATTGACCTGCCAACATATGTTCTCATGTTTCCTATTTACTGTTCTTGTTTGTTCCTTTGGTTTCATTCCCATACAACAGAAGATGATAATAATTTGAGCACTGATGTTCATTAACGTTGAAGACAGAAACCGTGGGCCCTGCTTATTTGCAACCGCAGCTGCATTTGGCTTTTTCAGGTTCTTGATGTGACTTTGTTTTTGTAAAGAATTTTCAACAGTCAAATTTAGGCAATAATAATTTCATCATTTATGAGACTTTGTGGTTTTAAACTTTTGCTAGTTATTGATAAATCATGAACTATATATTATATATATACTGTTTTCAGCAAGATGCATGCACTTCGGTGTACGAAAAAGCTGTTGACAGTCTCAACCTTGATTTAGATGTGCTTCAACTTTTTAGCATGTTCGAGTTCATTTTTAAGCCCATCAAGAAAGATATACGTAAATTATGGCAATATGTAGTGTTTCATGGTGGTCCTTGGAGCTGATTTTTTACTGGAATCAAGCACATTGGAAATGAAACTGCAGAGTAACTCATTCATAAAAAAAACACAATACATTTCTGGGACTAATTGTACTATTGCTTTTTTTTTGTCCTTTTTTTTTTTTTTAGGCAACTGCCATGAAGAAAGAACCTGCAAACTCTCAGAAAACTAAAACAAAAGAAAGAAGAAGACAAAGGATGGGGGAAAGAAAAAACGATCATGTAGGAGAAGAATAAATTTAAAATGAAGATATAATTTTCCTTTTTCTAGGCAATTTTTTTTTCATCTCTGACTTTGTCATGTTTCAGGAAATTGAATTTCTCCATCTTCTTGGTGTCTTTTTATTCTGTTCTGCAGCAGAAGGGATTTGAGGTCCAAGATCATGGTTATCTAAAGTAGTCATCTTGGTGAATTTGCTCAGTTTCTTCCACCCAGTTGTCCATGCTGATGTCTGTTTCTGCTTTGTCAACTTATCAAACTGCCTCTGCAAATTCTCCATATCACTTTGGAGCTCTAGATATTTGGTCTTA